TTTGTCTTCGTTAGTGCGACTTTTAATTTTCTTCTTTTTTTTTTCCTCCCCCGAAGTTTACTTTCGCCGAGTTCCTGCTCCGAGAAAAGAGTTAATATAGAGTCGATGCCGATGCAAATCTTTCCCAAGAGAATTAATTTTGCTCCCCCAAGCAATCAATGGACTCTGGAGCATTTGGCTCGCAATTTTTCTTCCCGTTGTTAAGCGTTGTAAAACTGGCGATCAACTTCAAAGAAATTGTTCTTACAAAGGCCAGATCATGCCACGCAACAATTTTTCCATTTAAGATTTTAATAAGTATACGGTGTGAACACTAGATAACCAATGGATTCCACGGATTAAAGCGGGATATCTCCTCCTCGATAAGCTAATAAGAGGTCATACCTCATTTCTTACCGATATGATTTATATATTTTTTTTTAATCTGGCAGGACGTCGGGGGGGCGACTGCACCTTTGTCCCGGGATCGGACGGATCAGCCTCGTCGACACGATCCTCATCGAGGATCCGATGGAACTCGCCAATTACGACGAGGAAGAAGCCGGTAATGAATTCGCGTTAAAAATATATTTGGGACGCGATGAAATCTCCTCACGCGAAGGAGCTTCTCAATTTGGCGTTTGCCGGGAATAAACGAGGAAAAAGCCGCTTCGTGGCAGCCAGCGCTTAATTTCTATAAACTTTCATAACGTCCCATTTCCTCGCGGAGAGAGCATACAGCGTGGTCCAAAATAAACGCTCCATCGATTTCCTTGGGAGACTCACACCTGCGCGAATAAGGCCACGTGGAAAGAATGAAGAGCCTCCGCATTGTTGCCAGGTGCTTTCATCTCACGAAGGGGAGGATGAAGCTTTTCTCTGGACCACGCTATATTGACAGGTCATTGACAGATGATGTAACGCCAGGGATTCCCTGCAGTACTTACCTTCCAGTCCCGTGCATTTCCGATGGAGCATTATCGAACGATGTTCAGCATGGATTGTTTGAAAAATTTGAATATACATTTCAAACATTTCATACTTTTCAAATATTTACACATTTCAAACTAACAGACACGTATAAACTAAATTCAGGCGTAATGAAGGTCCACAGGTGATTTAACTCGGTCTAGCACGGAAAAATATGAGTACAGTAGAAATAGTATTCATTCCTGACCTTGAACGAAGAAATACAGATGAATCGAATATGCCCCGCAGACGGTTCCGCCTCATCGGCGTCGTCTGCTTCCAGCGACGGCATCAACCCCGTCTCCGGCGGGGCGATGAACGTCGCCAAGGAATATCACAACCTCGACTTCAAACTCATCGTGGAGACGAAATTGGGTCAGCCTTTCAGCGTTCACCTCATGGCCCCTTCGTTGCAGGAGAAACAGGCCTGGGTCACCGACATCTCTCAGGTTCGAATCCTTGTTAGGCCATAGGCCTAATTCCTTTAGGTTTAATGCTTTAGGCCAATGGCATAATAATAAATAGGCCCAATACGGAACATGACTGCAATTGCTTTTTTGCGTGGCTCGGGCTTGTAGCCTGAAGGCCTTGTGCAGCCGCGTAAAAAAGTAATTGAGAAAACTTTCGGGACGAGTTTCTGTATGGTTCGCGCGAGTTTTTAATATTTTACTCCTCAGCCTTGAGAGACAAAAGTGTCAGTAGGTCGGCTAACCGTTTAGATATCTAACCTGAACTCGATCTCGGGCCTTCGTAACGCCGTAATAACGCCTCACGGTGCCATTCCAGTGCTTGGACAACCTGCACTTCAACACGCTGCTGCACATGGCGAAGAGCCAGGCCTCGTCCGTGGCCATGCCCCAGACGCTCAAGACGGACCCGAGGCTCTTCAAGGACGATGTGGATATTCGATTCTCCAGGGCTCTCAATTCTTGCAAGGTTCGCGAGGATTTTTTGCTTCTTTGTTTCTTTAAATACATATTCGCATCCATACATATTCTCTTTATTTTAATAGTAATATTCCGGTCCTCATTCGATTTTTCGCCAGAATGTACATTATACGTAAATTGCTGCGTCTGGATATAAACGCTCAGGCGTACCACGCCAGAGGGAAAAAAAATCGAAGACGCTCCCCAAGGAAGCCTAATGAAGCCATATTGACGCGATGGAAGAAGCCTCATCCCCCCCCTTCCCCCCCTCTCCCCCCCCTTTCCTCATCTGCTCGGTGATTAAAGGAAGGGGAAAAAGTCTCATCCCGTGAAAGCCCATGCAAAGACCCCCAACTATGCCTCATTTCCTCATCCTCCCTCCTCATCCCAGGGAGTAATTAGATGACATTCTGGAGTGGATCATGTAAGAGAAAAAAAAAAGCAAAAAAAAACTTGTATAATACATGTATGTGTTATATGAGTTTTATACGTTTATAAAACTATTATATAACCTTCATTCCAGTTTTGTGCATACTTCGTCAAATAAATTAAGCATGCAAAATCGTCCCCATAATTTTGAAATCCTCCT